GTTCAGGAGTAAGATTTCCAGTGTGGGGTGTCAACAATTGAGAGCCAGGTGGGTTCCAGGTGGGCCTCCTTTCTAGGATACCTTCTCTTGCTTTCTAATCCCTTGCTTTCAACAAGAATCCAGATGTGTACCTACCACCAGCCCCAGGCTGGGAGCACAAGACAGGGCTGTCAGGTCTGCTCTTTCCAGCATTGCCCTTGTGAATTATTCAGCAGTGCACGGTGGTGAGAACCGTGGGAAGGATGAATTGGGCTGTGAACTGCAAGGTTGGCAGTTCAAAACCCCAGCTGCTCCTTCGGAGAATCAGGCTTTCTACTCCCATAAGAGTTCCAGTCTCGGAAACCCACAGAGGCAGTTCCACCCTCTCCTACCAGGCCACTTGGGGTAGGCATGAATGCAATGACAGGGAATTTGGGGATGGTGGTATCCTGCGGTGCCCTGTGCTCAGTGGGGATCAATAAGTCTCAGAGCCACTGCATCTGCTGCTCATAATCAGTCTGAGGATAGATGACCTCCTTAACCTTTGCAAGTTATAGCCTCCGTAACACTGGAACAGTGACACCAGGCTGTGGTTTTAATGCCTGCCATGGGGCTGGCACAGGAACATGCACCTCTCCTTGCCCCCAAACGCCTGCCTCAGAGGAGCTAAAGAAGCACAAAGCATGGCTCTGTAGGTGTCCCATGCTAGATAAAAGGAACACGAGTGGGCAGGCAGAGGAGGACAAGAAGGAGCACAGTACCAAGCAGGTATACTGTTCACCATCTGAAATGTGCACCAAGTGGATGATCTGGAACACTGACAGCTGTTTTCAACAAACAGAACCAGAGGATTTACCCTGCAGGCTGCTGTGTGCATTCTCCTCACACTATTCAACCTCAGCAGCAGAAACAGATTCAACACGAGGCATTTTCTACTCCTTAAACTATTGCTTAATTAGAGAAAATGGAACATTACCTTTGTTGAAATTGCCTTCAACAGACTCTGGATTCTAAATTCAGGGTTTTCTTCCTTCAGAGCCTTTGCAAAAATGAGATCCAGAAAGTAAAGCAGAATGAATTCCAGCCTCTTCTCTCCAGTAGAAAGTGAGACTGAAGTTCACCCAGTGATCTCTCAGGGATTATCTAATGATCGCTGGCAGGGAGGGACCAGAGGGGAGGAGTTGGTCCAGGTATCCCAAAGCTGCAAGGAGCTTCAATAGGAAAACTAAGCAAGATTCTGGGAACCAGAGAAGGAGTCCCTTCCTATTAGGGATCACCTAACCCACCTGGGTGGGGCTGGGAGGCAAAGCATCCCATCCCAGAGGCCCAGAGAGAGGACTCCGAGGCGGTAATCCTTTTTTTCTAGAGTATGTGCTGCCGAAGCGAGCACAAAGGCTGTAATCTTTAGGGGAGCAGAAAGTCTCAGCATTCCCCTGCAGAGATGTTTCACAGTCCAGCTCACATCCAGCAGTGCCACCAGGGGTCCTTACCACAGGAGTGACTCACTCCTTCTCCCTGCCAGCAAGTCCTGGCTGACTCATAGTGACCCACTGAGGCTGTAACTGATGAAGGGAGTACAAAGCCTAGTCTTTCTCCCACAGGGTTGCCGGTAGTTTCCAACTGCCCAACCATGTGGATTGCAGCCAGTCTCGTAACCACTACACCACCAGGGCTGCATTCACAAGGACAAGGAGAAGTAATCTCATTTAAAGGAAAGGAGGAAGGGTGCAGGCAAGGGAGGAATAAATACAGTCACTTTAAAATGGAAAGAAACATAAAAATGAAATGCAGTCTGTAAATGTTTTTTTGGTTTTTCTTTTTAATGTTTTAGAAAAGAGAAAGAGGGACAGAAGAGTGGGAAGGAGAGAGAGGACGAAAAGAAGAGGACAAGTCAGGAAAGGAGAAGAGAGCGCCTGCAGCAGCCTCAGGAGGAGCAGGTTTTGGGTTCGAACCCAGCTACTCCCAGTGTCTGTGTGATGGGACAGCTTGGTGGGTCTCTCAGGAGCATGTTTTTTCCCCCAAGTGTAAATGAGAAGGGAACAGGCAGACTGCATACATGGCTGTGAAAGTGGGAGAGATCAAGTCATGGAGCAGGGTACCTGGTGAAGGCCAGCTGCTCAATGAACAGTTGTTACCCAGTTTTAAATCTTTACCCAAGTCTCTGAAGCAAGAACAAAACCACAGAAAGAGACTGTATTCATTTTATTAGGGGTTCATACAACTCATCACAATCCATACATATATCAATTGTATAAAGCACATTTGTACATTCATTACCCTCATCATTCTCCTAACATTTGCTCTCCATGTAAGCCCCTGGCATCAGCTACTCATTTTTTTCACCCTCCCTCCCCGCTCCCCCCTTCCATCATGAAACCTTGATCATATATAAATTATTATATTGTCATATCTTACACTGTCCGACATCTCCCTTCACCCACTTTCTTGTTGTCCTTCCCCCAGGGAGGTTATATGTAGATCCCTGTATTTGGTTCCCCCTTTCTACCTCACTCTCACGGTATCACCACTCTCACCACTGGTCCTGAAGGGATCATCTGTCCTGGATTCCCTGTGTTTCCAGTTCCTATCTGTACCAGTGTACAGTACATCCTCTGGTCTAGCCAGATTTGTAAGGTAGAATTGGGATCATGATAGTGGGGTGGGGAGGAAGCATTTAGGAACTAGAGGAAAGTTGTATGTTTCATCGTTGCTACACTGTACCCTGACTGATCATCTCTTCCTCGGTGAACACAATACATTTTCTTAAAATCCTATTTTCTTATGTGACAAGGGGCTGCAATAACCATCAAATCCCACTTACATCTGGAGTACCCAAATTTGCTTCCAACAAGTGACAACAGGTGTGGGAAACAGAAAGATTTCTCCCAAGTCATCTCTCCCAAATAGATGTTAGACTCAGGACACTGCTTGCAGCTAATGGTAAATGATTGTCAAATTACCTCCCTGAAGGCAGTCAGTCAGTTGCCAGACTACTCTCTGGGCCCACTACAGGTAAGGCCAGCTCCCTGCTGTTAAGGACAATGGGCTACTTCTCCCTAAAGCCTTGTGACATTAGTATGGTTCCTGTAAGTAGGGTTTACACCCTTCTGATAATGGTTTCTATGGTGGGCCTGAGAACAGGTCAAACCAGTTCAGTGACATCCAAAGTTAGGCTGCCATCCTGAATCTAGGATCCATCCATCTTGTCACATGTGTACCCCCATTACCTCCCCTTCCTATTATGTGGATCAGCCCTCTCCCATTACTGTATTACCTATAGTACAAACCTTTCCTGTGAAGTATGTCCTCACCTGTAATTAGGGGGCTTGCACATCCCCAGAGAATATAAAAAGCCTTGGCTAGCAATAAAGATCGATCTCTCTCTCTCTCTCTCTCCAAGTGGACCACCAAGTGAGGCTGAGGTGAGCATGCTACCATGAAATGTGTCTGACGCCATTATTTCAATCTCTCATGCTCTCTATGACTTTACTATAATCTTTACTTATCGCTGTACAATTGCACCTACCACACCCGTGATGATGTGTTAGGGGCTGGTATACCCTGACAAAAAGGTTCTTATCTCTCCTGCTCCACTCCCAGCCCAAATCCATTCTCTCCAAAACCTCTGAACATCGATTTTTCTCTCATTTACTATTAATCTCTGCACTTTCTAAGCTAAAATCAAAGTGGTCTGCTTTTCTGACCTCCTCCAAACCCCCTAAAACCCAAACTCACTGCCATTGAGCCGATGCCAATTCAGAGTGACCATATAGGACAGGGTAGAACTGCCCCCATGGGGTCCCAAGACTAACTCTTGACAGGAGAAGAAAGCCCCATCTTTCTCCCATGGAGAGGCTGGTGGTTTGAACTTCGAACCTTTTGGATCACAGCCCAACAAGTAATCACGGTGCCACCAGGACTGCCTTAGCCTCTTCCACAACACCCGTTACTCATTCAACACAAAACAGGTTCATAAACAAGCTGACGAAAAGAATTCTCTTTATGAATCCCCCTTAATGAGGGTGATGTGGAGTCCAGCCCCACAGTAAAAAAGGCTCAAGGAGTGACATGTGCAATTAAAGACAAAGAAGATAGAAAAGGGGGATCAGGGGACACAACTCCGTTCTCAGGAGAAGAAGAGGGGAAAGGGCCCAGAGTTTATTTAACAATGGGTTTTTGTAGCTTTTGAGGCACACAAGCCTCTTGTTAATCATATACTGTGGGGGAAAGGCCAGCCCCCCACAACTAATCGGGATCCATAGGCGCAATTGTATGGTCAAGATATATAGAGAGATTATAATACAGTCATAGAGCGCATGAGAGATAGAAGAGATTGAAATAATGGAGTCAGACACATTTCATGGTAGCATGCTCACCTCAGCCTCACTTGGTGGTCCACATGGAGAGAGGGAGAGGGGAAGGAGGCCAACGGGAAAGGGAACAGGGGAGCGAGGAATGGGGAGCGGAAGGGGAAGCCAACCAGAGGCCAAGGGAAATCTTTGATGCTAACCAAGGCTTATAAATCTTTGGGGGGCATGCAAGCCCACTAATTACAGGTAAAGACATACATCACAGGAAGGGGTTGTACTATAGGTAATACAGCAATGAGAGGGGGACAATCTAGGGATATACACTCAATAGGAAGAGGAGGGATTGGGGGTATACATGTGACAAGATTCAGGATGGCAGCCTAACTTTGAATGTCACTGAGCTGGTTTGACCTGTTCTCAGGCCCACCATAGAAACCATTATCAGTAGGGTGTAAACCCACCTACAGGAACCAGACTAATGGTCACAAGCCTTTAGGGAGAAATAACCCATTGTCCTTAACAGCAGGGAGCTGGCCTTACCTGTGGTGAGCCCAGACTGTAGTCTGGCAACTGACTGACTGCCTTCAGGGAGGTAATTTGACAATCATTTACCATTAGCTGCAAGCAGTGTCCTAAGTCTAACATCTATTTGGGGGAGATGACTTGGGAGAAATCTTTCTGTTTCCCACAATACACTTCCATCAAATGGGTAGTGTACTAGTCTTAGTATCCCAAACATTCAAAGGGAGGACTGCAAGGGGAGTACAAGGTTCACAAGAGACAAAAGGAACAAACCTTAAGATAAGCGTACTTTACCTGTGTATGAGAGTCCAGCATCTGTAGAAAACACCTTTGCCTAAGCGGTTATGGGATACAGGTGTGCCATGAGAAAGGTGCTTCCTGCACTTTTGTGTAGGGAGGCATTTC